AGCCTATCATGAAACTAGCTCTTGTACACCAGGCTGGCCTCGAACTCACAGAGATCTACCTGCCTCTGCTGGGATTAAAGGCGTGTGCCACCACTGCTCAGCTTAAATTTTTTTAAATATAACTTATTTATTTTTATTTTACGTGCATTGTTGTGTTCCCTGTATGTATGTTTGTGTGAGGGTGTCAGATCTTGAAGTTACAGACAGTTGTGAACTGCCATGTGGGTGCTAGGAGGCGAACCCAGGTCCTCTGGAAGAGCAATTAGTGCTCTTAACCACTGAGCCATCTCTGAAGTTATTCTTTATCCTCAGACATGCATCACACAAAAGAATTATGCTCCCGTCTTATCCAGCACAAGAACCACTTACCCTGCAGATTATAAGCGGCCAACTGAACGGCTGTATCAAAGGGACACTCTAATCTGAGATCAAAACACAAATTGGCTAAGTCAATTTCATAATCTTTAAGATAAACAACATTAATATATATTACATTTTGAGCATTTGCTTTACACAACCCTGAACTTATTTGTGTGCACATGTGAAGGCCTGAGTGCCATGTCAAGACTCTTCCTCTGTTTCTTTCCTCCTTACTGTTTTGGCTACAGTGACTGGGCAGTGAGCCCCAGCACTGGGGTTAAGATGCCACGGTGCCCCTGGGTTTTACATGGGTGCTGGGAGCTCAAATTCAGGTCCTTTACTTGCTGAGCCATCATCTCACCAGCCCTGGGCTGAACTTATTTTCTAACTTAGGTTTCTACTACTCAAGAATTTTGCAGTTATGTACTAAATAATTTAATACTCACTTCCCACTGAGAATATCTTGTTTTAACTGCAGAACAAATAGATACCTAAGGAAAATAAAAGACACAATAACCAAATAGAACAATCTACTATGTTAATAAATAAATAAACGGAAAAAAAAAGAACAATCTACTATGGAAAAAAAATACTATCATTTTAACTTGAGAACACCCCCCTTTTTTTTTGAGACAGGATTTCACCCATGCAGCCTGGATGGTCAGAACTCAGAGACCCACATGCCTCTGCCTACCAAGTGCTGGGATTAAAGGTGTGCACAACCATACCCTATAGAGAACTTTTTAATTATAGAATTTTACCACAAGATGATTGTAAGGGAAAAACAATGAATGAAAAAGGGTGCTGAGAGGAGGAAGAAAGCGCACCGGAAGGTGCACACCTGAAGGTAAGAGAAGAGGAGCAGAGGCACTGCAGAGAAAATATCAGATTTTTATTAAATGATCCCTATGACTGGCCTTAACTCTGACAACACACTCACCTACACGAGAGATATAAGGATAACAGCAGCAATCCTCACAATACTCTAACAACTCACCCTTGTTACTTAGCGAGGACTGTGTAGAAAAGCAATGAGTTTGCAGTAAGAAGGCAGGGTACAAGAAAGAAATGGATACAACCTGAAGCTTTATCCAGAATTACTCAAATTGGCATCTAATATTGTTATTAATTGATGGTATTTATTAAGTAAAGAAGTCAGGAACCTATGTGAAGGTGGTAACAAAAGTCAGATCACAGTGAATGTCAATAAGATTGTAATTTATCAAAACATTGTCAGGGCCGGGCGGTGGTGGCGCGTGCCTTTAATCCCAGCACTCAGGAGGCAGAGGCAGGCAGATCTCTGTGAGTTCGAGACCAGCCTGGTCTACAAGAGCTAGTTCCAGGACAGGCTCCAAAACCACAGAGAAACCCTGTCTCGAAAAACAAAACAAAACAAAACAAAAAAAAAACATTGTCAGTTCTGTTTAAAATCCATGAACCAAGCCAGGAGATGGTGGAACACACCTTTAATCCTAGCACTTGTGAGGCAGAGGCAGGAGAAATGCTGTGAGTTCGAGGCCAGCCTGTTTTACAAGAGCCAGGTCCAGGACAGGCCCCAAAACTACAGAGAAATCCTGCCTCAAAAACAAAAATAAAAACAAAAACAAAACAAAACAAAAACAAAACAGAACAAAACAAAAAACCCATGAACAAAACAGAACAAAACAAAAAACCCATGAACTGACTCACCAGTCACCTCTGCTGGGTGCATGAAAGCCAACTCTCTTTGTTTTGAACAACAAATAAGAATCATATACTTTTATTTTAATATTTTAAGACAAGGTCTCACATTGTAGCTTAGGCTAGCTTGAAAGTCACTATGGAGCCCAGGCTGGTCTTGAATTCAGTAATCCTGCCTTGGTTTCTTGAGTGCTGAGATTTTAGGCATAAGCTATTTTACTTGACATTTTAAACATCTTGTTCGAATATAAAAACTCACCTGAGACCTTATTGCTAAGCTGAGAAATCCTAGGAGTGCCCTTCTGAAAGTTTTAGCCCCTGACATAACCCTTAGTAGTGGCCTTACCGGGTTAGCTCCTCACGAAGATTGTTTGGTTCCGAGGAATAAAACTTAACCCGAAGATGAAGACAATAGGGTGAACCAACTGCCATTAAAAAAGAAAAGAGCTTTAAGTGTTATTGACTTACTAACAATTTTCACCAGTGAACTGGCTGACAGTTACCACCGTATAAAGGAAAAGAACAGATCCTTGTAGCGTTATTCCACAGCAGAGCCAGGCAGGAACCTGACACAGGCGTTTTAGAGTGTGCCAACCAGAGCACGGCATTACCACATCCACCTGTCAGCCCAGGACAGCCAGCCCTACCTTAACTCCAACAGCTCCAGGCCAAATGCAAATCTTAATGGTACAATCAAACAGCCTGGAAAACCTGCTGAGCCACACTTTTAGAGGAGGCCGAGGAATGCCAACATTAGTAACTGCAAGGCCAAACATCCCGCACTTCAAACTCAGTCCAGTGCGCACACTGACTGCTGAATTCTCATCAGTCCTCTCCCAGTACTTTATATAGACAAGAGTTAAGGTGCCCTGAAATCTGACACTACAGGGACAAGTAGGCCGCGGGGATCGAACACTGGTATTTCCCCAAGTCAATAATAATCTATTTCATGTGAATGGCTTCATTTCATTGTCTTAAGTCTTACTTTTAATTATGTGTATGGGGGTGTTTTGTGCATGTGTGAATGCAGGTGCCCACAGAGTCCAGAAGAAAGTGTCAGATTCCCTTGAGTTGGCGCTCCAAGCAGTTGTGAGCCACCAATACAGGTGCTGGGAACTGAAGGTGGGTCCCCTGCAAGACCAGCATGTGCTCCCAATCGGAGTCACTTCTCTAGCGCTGCGTCATATTCTTCTAAAAGAACAGCGGTAAGGAAGGGCTGGAGAGACGGCTCACTGAAGAGCAGTTGTCACTCTTGAAAAGGACCTGACTTTGATTCCCAGCACCCATGTGGTTCACAATTGCTTGCAATTCCAGTTCCTGGGGATTCAGTGCCCCTTTCTGACCTATGATGGCACTAGACACACACAGTTCACATGTGTATGTGACTGGCTATGTCAGCTGAATGCACAGACAAAGGGGACAGAGTAAATCTACCATGTATTTCTCAGCCTAGGCCACTGTACATAGCCTGCATCATGAATTTCTGGAAAGACGAAAGAAAAAAAAAACTATTACAGCTTTAAGGTCTCGAAACGTTTCTTAGGGGCAGGTAGAGCCTCCCAAAACAAAAACAGACACACAAAAACAGAGGGGGGAAGCCCAACAAAATAGCAACACAAGTAATCACCTAAAGAGAAGTTAAATATTTCGTAAGAATTCAAGCCAGTTTATGAGCTGCAAATATTTCTCCTATAAGCTCAAGTTACAAGACTCTTGAGTCTAGATTAATATTCAACCCACACTGCTGGGCACTGAATTGGTACATTACAATGACATGAAGTTTAAAAGGCCGCCACACTAGCCAGACACATTAAAAACCACCAATATTCCTAGCACCGAGGAGGCCGGGAAGGCTTCTGTGCTTGAGACCAATCTGACTGACATAACCCCCAGCCCACCCTGCAAAGGCAGATGATAAAAGAGACTCATAGAAAACATGATTTTCTAATGTTCTTATTATTAAAAATGTGTTTCTGATATATTTTATTTGCACAATTTCACAAATAATTTCTCAACACTTACTTTTTACTTGCTTTTTGATGCTTTTTGTACCATCCAACCAATGCTGCAAATGGAAAAATAAAATTGAGTACTTATGCAAATGGTAGATCTTTAACGTTTAACAAGTTACTGCTTACAGCTTCGTGGACAACACTATGCAGTATTTCACGAAGGGAAAACCAAAGGGACAGGCTGAATTCTCTCTTTCAAGGTGGCTATCACGGCTTAAATCATATACTTAATTTCCCCAGTTCCTAAATAAATGGCTCTCTTGAAACTTTTCAGTTAGAGAGAAGAGGGCTGCAGCTAGAGACAGCTATAGAGCATGCGCCAGTACCACTATAAATAAGTACATAAACAACATTTTGGGAGAAAAATTCCATTCCTTTATAAGATTTAGTGGCAGACCCTAACACAGAGAAGAGAAATTGTTACCAGAATTTTGCAAAACAATGACTATTTAGTACTCATTAAAGGGCCTGAAGGGTTTAAAAAGCAAGATTTTTTTTCCCAAAATCATGACAATGTCTATCAACAAGTAGTCACTGTCCTTCCGATTTATAAATAAAAATGTTTACACTTGACAAGCAGTTCTGCTTTCAACAGTAACAGCCTTTTTAAAAAAATTCTGTTTCATTGTATGCTACAGTCAGTATATATGAACTAGTTGAATCTTGTGAAACAGAAATCCATGAAAATTCAGAGAGGCAGATGTTCAGGGCTGACAAGCAGAGGACTGTATATTACGGCACATGTTATACAGAAGCTTTTGTACAGACTTTTTAGTTCTCTTGAAAATATTCACTGGTTCACAAAAAGTGGTTTGAGAATCCTCAAGATATATGACTTCAAAAAAGGGCAGACTTCCTGGGGTCTGAAAGAATTTGTACTTGAAGATACTCCAGTGAGCAGTGGGTCATGCTGATCACTCTGAAACTTGGACTGTTTCAAGTCTGCAGCTGCCTGGGAAACCTTCACAAGGTTGAGCCCCAGTTGCTGAACTACCTTCTTCATGGTGGCGATGCTAGAAGAACCTGGCATGGTGCTCGGGACAGTCCTGAGCCAGTAATAAACAGCCTTTTAATTTCTACAGCCTCTTCACTGGGAAATGCTCATAACACAAACAAACCTGAAACGACTCCTGATGTCCTGCTCATGACAAACCCCTTGCCTCAGGCCCTCACAGCGACAGCACTGGTCCGGCTATGACTCACATAGGTGAGCTCACTTCAGCACACTTTCAACTCCAAACACCAAAAGAAGAGGGTGCTCCTGTGTTAGTCCACAGAGCCATGGACGCAGTTTCAACCACCCTGCTAGGCAAGAATGCTAAGGCTGCACTGCACTGGAGCTGTTTGCTCTCCTCACCTACTATTTGCCGAGCCTCTGCTTTCCTTTCTTCTTCAGGGCCCTCAAGTGAAACTTACAGAGCTCTTACTCTGCCAGCAAGGTTCCCTCTATCTCTGAATAAGATGTTCTGTAAACACATCAGGCAGCGACTGCAAAGCTTTCTGTCTTAGTCTGGCAGTGGGGGAGACTGAACCCAGGGCCTCAAGTATGCTAGACAAGAGTCCTGCAGCTGAGTCACATCCCAGTCCTACGTATGTTTCCTCTGGATTCCAAGCTGGGTAGGCTACTTGGCCAACTCATTTAATACATTGTGGGCCAGCCCCTTTTAAATACATTTCAGAAGGCAAATGCTCATTTGTACAAATCCTACTAGTAGGCAGAAAACAGATTTATTAGGAATGACTTCAACATGGAGCAACAAATAATGCTTTCATCTTGGCCCAGAAACCCAATATTCAAATATGAAGTGGCCTAATGTTATGACATTCCTACAAGCAATTCCTTAAGAAAAGCATAGGATAACCATCCAATGATGAACTGGCTGAAACATTTGAAAGTGACAAAAGCATAATGAAGCAATTAAAAAATGAAAGCAAATACTTAAAGATCTGAAATGGATTCTGCTTTTTTGGGGGAATGCTGGGGGTGGTTGAGACAGGGCCCCTCTCTATAGCCCCAGCTGTCCTGGAACTCTGTAGACCAGGATGGCCTTGAATTTCTGCCTCTTCCTTCTGAGTGCTGAAATTAAAGACAGGTGCCACCATGTCTGGCAATACTGCTATATGTTAAAGGATTCACTGTGAAGTATTATAAATTGTTTTGTCAAATGTACAAATAGGTACACACATACAATGTATACTCTTTTAGACTGAGGTAACATTAATAATAAGATAGTAACTGACATGACTGGTGAGGGGCTGGAGAGAGGCTCAGCGGTTAAAAGCACTGGCAGCTGCTTTTCCAGAGGACCTGCACCCACAAAGCAGCTCACAACCATATGGCACAACAGTTCCAGAGGATAGAATGACTTCTGGTCTTTGTGGGTACTGTAACATGTGGTGCACAGACATCCATGCAGCCCACACACTCATATACAGAAAAGAAAAAATAAATAAAACTGCAAAAGATATTTAAAAGATTATGTGTTATGAACACAGTTTGTTGCTAAGAAAAATAGCTCCTTTATTATAACATTTGATATAGACAATCATATGGACTCGGGGAGTAACAGTGAAACAACAGAGGCTAGAGTAATGATAAGCAAGGTTAAAAGCACATGCTTCTTTTTCAGAGAACCCGAGTTCAGTTCCCAGCACCCACGCCAGGCAGCTCACCTGTTACCTACAGCCCCCAGGGGATCCAGTGCCCTCTTCTGGCCTCCAAGGGTACCTGCATCCTACCCCACAAATACATGAAAAAAAAATTATAAAGGCATCAGTTTCTATCCCCAAGATCTATCCCCTATAAACGGCACACATTCCCTCAAGATATGAACGGTTGCTTTTGATTCTGTCTCAGCTTCCTTCAAACTAGAATAATTCCTCTTTGATGTTCTTGTATTTGAAGGACAGTTAAAAGTACACTGAAAAATCAACAGGCTAATTATAATTACCCTGTTCTCCTGCTTTGTGACAGGATCTCACTATGCAGCCCTGGCTGGTCTGGAACTTGCTGTGTAGACCAGGCTGGCCTATATCTCATAGAGATCCTCCTGCCACTGTCTCCTGAGTGCTGGGATTAATGGTGTGCTCCATCACTCTTGCCAATTCATTATAAATTTTCAAGAAAAATAAGAAGGAAAAGAAGGACTTACTAAAATCATTCCCAGTTGTTCAGAAATCTTTTCCTAGTTGGATCTATTCAGGACCAGCTTCAGGACTACTAAGATGGCTCAGCAGGAAAGGGAACTTGCCACAAAATCTGATGACTTAGACCTCTGGGACCACAGTGGAAGAGAGAAGAAACTCCCCCAAGTTGTCCTTGAATTCCACATGCATATCACATGTAGGCACACTCATGAACAAAAATAATAAAGTGTAAAAACAAACAAAACTCCAAAGACAATTCTCATGAATATACTTTCCCACTCTTACCCATGTCCTACCATTAAACACAAAGTTATCCCAGCAGAGAAGGTGCTGCAGCATACAGCAAGCAGTAATCCCAGTCTTCTCTACCGATTCTAGTGTCTTACGCCAGTAAGAGAACCAAACAAACATATTCTAAAGTGCGATGTAGGAGCTGGGGGAGTCCTGAGTCACTGCTCTTGTTCATGTTTGTGGATTCTCAAGTCTGTTTTCTTTCATCTCCTCCACATTCCAAGAGCAGTGACTGGAAAATTCAGAGCTCAGAGACAGGCGCTGATGCATTTCCTAGAATCAGAGTCTCTGAGAGTAATGTTCAAACTGCTAAGAAGATAAAGATGGAAGGCATGCAGATGCAGACGCTTGGGTGCTTAATGTAAAATTGAAATAGTTCACACCTTAAAAAGTTTAGTTGTGAAACTTAAGATATTAAAAAAATGCAGAAAGCTGCATTTCACCCTCAGCAGGTGGCTATAGAAGAACAATTAATTCATGTATCTTAAAAGGCAATAATGATATAATCACAAACATACCAGACATAACTAAACCAAAGAGTCAGCAAGGAAGCTTCTGAAACATCAAGACACATACACACCATCATCCCAGGTCCTCCAGCCACACACATACACCCTCTTCCCAGGCCCTACACACACACACACACACACACACACACACACACACACCCTCATCCCAGGCTCACTGAAGAAACACACCACTACTGCTCAAAGGGCAAAGAGCCTGACATAAAAATGTCAACCATCTCTCAGAACAGTCTCCACATGAAACATGTCAGCAGAGGCATGTTTAACATTTTAAACTATTTTAGAAAAGTTAAAAACATAAATGCTAAGAAAAGCAGATTTGTAACTGAAAAAATCACTTCTGTTTAGTCTAGACGCTGACTAACCCTTCCTGAGCGACTACTTTCCTTAGAGTGAACAGTCTGTCATAAGTCATGGCGAAAGAAGACCCAAACCAGACATCACAAAATATTTTCCAAGGTACCTTTGTTAAAAATTTTTAAAATGCTAAAATCATGACTGAGTGTAAGTGACTTCAGTATGTGAATAGCTCTTAAGTTACAAACTTACTCTTTCTGCATTTCTGTCTTGCATATGCACCCACAGAGGTCAGAGAGGGCAGAGCTTCCGTAAGGTGCTCTCCTAAGGTATTTTATCATAGCCACAGGAAAAGAACTGAGAAAGTGCGCATGTGCTGGAACAGGCTCCTACTCGGCCAGACAACTATGCTTCAGTTTCCAGCACCCATAAAGGTAACTCAGGTTCCAACGGAGCTGGATCCTCTTCTGGACCCAGGCATACATGCAGTGCACGTGCATAAATGCAGGCACTCACAACATAAAATGAAAAATAAATAAATCTTTAAAACAGTGTTCATATTAAGAAATTAGAGAAATCAATGAACTAATAGAACACCTCAAGGTCTTAAAAACGCAAGAACAAAAAGTCCAAAACTAAACTCAGAAGAAATACATAGTACAGATATTGAGTTGAAATTAATCAAACAGTAATCAAAAAATATATAAAATATCAACATAACAGAGATAGCTCTTTGGAAGGATAAATAATATTGGTGAGCCACAGGCAATAATAATAAATAATACAACTTATATTTATAAAACTAGAGATAAAGAAATTACAATACTACTGATGTCCAGATGATTATGAGGGACCATTTTGAAAACTTGTAAGTTGGAAAAAAAAATAAAACCCAAAATAACTCCTAGACACATGATCTACCAAAATTAAACCAAGAGACTAAACAAGAATAATATTGAGCGGCTGGAGGGATGGCTCGAAGGTTAAGAGCACTAACTGCTCTTCCAGAGAACTGGGGTTCAATTGCCAGCACTCCCATGGTGACTAACATCTATCTATAACTAGTTAGAGGGGATCTGATGCCTTGGCCTCTGTAGGCAATGTAAACACAGACCTACATTCAGGCAAAACACCCATACACATCAAATAAAAATACATCTTAAAAACAATATTGAAGGCACAGTAAAGAAATTCTTGAGGAGAAAAAATCCAGGTCCAGACATACTCTGTCCTGGAACTTCCTCTGTAGAGCAGGCTAGTCTCAAACTCACAGATCCAGCTGTCTCCACCTCCAAGTACTGGGATTAAAGGCATGTGCCACCATTGCCCGGCCACAGACACAGATCTACCTCTAAAGATAGCAACATCAATGTTCTTTAAAGTATTGCATAAAATAGAAAGGGAAGGAATGCCTTAAACCTCTCTGCTATAAAGCCAGTAGTACCATGATAATAGAAGAAGAAGAAGAAGAAGAAGAAGAAGAAGAAGAAGAAGAAGAAGAAGAAGAAGAAGAAGAAGAAGAAGAAGAAGAAGAAGAAGAAGAAGAAGAAGAAGAAAAAGAAGAAGAAGAAGAAGAAGAAGAAGAAGAAGAAGAAGAATCTCTTTCACGAGCATGGATGTAAACTTCTCAGTACTTGGAAGCATGCATGGGACTAGGGAGCTGGCTCGGGGTATAAAAGTGCTTGCTCTACAGTCTGAGTCTGAACCCTGGAACCCAGATTTAAAAACCCATTGCAGGGGTCTATACCTGTAATACTAGTACTTCTATGGGAAAATGGGAGGTGGAGACAAGAAAATGGGCTGGAAACTCAGAAGCCAACTAGCTCAAAGTATGTCTGCCATGTAGTGGCAGAAACAAAAGAAATGCCACCTCAACCAAGTGGAATTTGAGAACCAACTCCCAAATTATCCTCTGAATTCCATACATACTTCATGTCATGTGTATGCCAGTATAAATGTATACATGTATGGAGTTCACACACATACACACACAGACACACATACACACACTCTAAATACATAAAACTAAAAGTGAAAATACATAAAACATAAAGTGAAAGAAACAATCACCGGTGTCAAGAGAGTTTGAAGAATGGTAGGGAATCTATCTCAAAGAAATCAATATCTAGAACATAAAAACTGAACACCTAAGAAAATACAGAATACACAATAAATGAGCAAATGAATTGAATGTGTGCTTTTCAAATGAAGTACAGTTGGCCAATAAATAACTGAAAAGCCAACCTCTTCAGGCTCATTAGAAAAAGACGAATCAAAGCTACTATCAAGATCCTGTCTCACCCTAGATAGAATGGCTATCAAGAAACAAAAAGCAACAAATACTGAGGAAGATGTGGGGTGGAGAGAAAGAAACCCTTCTACACTGCCGTGGGAATGTGAACTAGTGTAGCCACTAAGGAACACTGCAATCTCATGCACTCCAAAATTTCATTGGATAATTCCGCTCCCTTCCTAGGTGCATAACTCTGAACACTGAAATATGCCCCGAAGAACAAAGATGTGCAGAGCAGCATCCGTAACAGTCAAATAGAACCAAACAAAATGCCCATCAATTACTGGATAAACAAAATGTGACACAAATTATTCAGCCACAGGAAGGAATCAAATACTGAAAAATTTACATACAACAAATATTAACTTTGGAAACATTTGGACAAGAAAGGTTGTAACTAGATGATCACTTACATCAAATTTTCAAAATCAGCAAATCAAAATGAATAGAAGTACAGTACTCAATCCGGGTACAGTGTTGGAGAAGGCTAACAAGGACGGAGAGGTAGGCTCCTTTCAAGGGTGACAATGTGTTCTGAAATAATGATAGCTGCATAACTGAATATTCTAAAAGCAAATTACACAATCTAAAGTGGCAGATCTGAAAACTGCCATTTCTGTAGTCACGACAGAACCTCCAAAAGATACTCACAGCTACTTGGGCCGAATCCATGAATCTCAGACCAAAATAGTCACTTTCAATCAAGTCCAGGTGATACATAATTTGATCGAAAAGCTCCTGTCCTTTGGCTTTTTTCTGAAACAGCAAGAAGATGATTAGCAAGTGGCTTAAGCAGGGTCACTGCCCTATTTCTGATCTTAGGGAGAGAAAGGTACTTCTTTAGTCTTCCACTTATTTCTTAATTTTTAATGCTTCTTTTCCTCAAAGGGAAGATCCCCAAATATGACCTCACCAACTTCTTCTTTTTCTTTCCTTTCCCCTCTTCCCCGAAACAGGTAGCCTTGGCTGTCCTGGAATTCACTCTGCAGACCACAAGAACTCAGAGGTCTGCCTGCCTCTGCCTCTGGAGTGCTGGAATTACACCACCATGCCCCAAGCCAATTTCTTTTTTATGTTACTTGATCCCAATTTCATCAACTGTATTTTTTATTTAATTGTACTTTCCCACCTGGGATTCCACTGGACCCTTTTCAAGCAACCTTTATCTCACACGGTTAACCTTCAAAGATCTTTTAGAAAACTTATTAAGCCTTTTTTTTTTTTATTTCATCTGTGTTTGCCTAAGTATTCTCTGTAATTTTTTTTTTACTGTTTTTGACTTCCAAGATACTTCTGTGTATTTGTGCAACGTACCCTCTCCATATTAAATATAACAAGAAAAAACAATCTAACCTGAAAATCTATGACTATTTCAATTTAGTTCCAATGGGTGTGGGGAGAACCCTGAGAAGAGAGCCCCAAGAGTCACAAAGCCACAGTCAATGACTTTAGTGTCAACAAACAATTCCTAAGGATGGCAATTCAGGCCCACTTCTAGAAGAGTTACCCCTTTAACTGTAATCCACTGCAGCTCAGGAGGGAAGGAACTTTATCTAGGTAAAGGGATTCATTCTTGGAGTGGGAGTTTTGGAGACAGAGATTATGAAGCTGATGATACGACTGCTCCAAGGTATGGCTATGTAGAACATCTAAGGGAGGGTGCAGCCAGAGAGAGAGCAGAGAGCAGAGAGGGCAGTGGGCTGAACACGGCCCACAGACTGGACCTGGCCATGAGAGAGGCGGGGTGGGGGAGAAATAAAGACAGAGAGTGCAGGCAAAGAAGCCCAAAAGAGCCCACAGCTGAAATAGCAGGTTACAAGGGAATGAGAAGCTGGGGGAAGGGAAGCCTATAAGAGCTGGAGAAATTTAGGGTAGGGGGTGGGGTGAGAAGGGCCAGGGTGCCAGCATGTACTCTGTGACAGGTACTGGTGATACAGAGGGAGCCTGGAGGCCAGCATGCCTTTTGGTATGTTAATAGGAACCAAAGACAGCCATTTGTCCCAATTTCTTTTGGAACTGACAGTATATTTTAGGCAGTGGAACTAGGGTTTTTACAGACACTTACACCCAATGTCAGAGTTACTGTTGTATACCACTGGGGTGAAAACAAGACATGTATTCAGTTATCTTCATTCCATTTACACTTCAATCTGCAGTCAGGATAACCCCACATCCATTACGGGGGGGGGGCGGGGGGGGAGTGAGGGGGGAAAAGACACAAGGGGAGAGGGAAGAGATAAAGGAGAAAAGAGGAGGAAGAGATGTAGGTATGAACCAGAATTCTTGCTAATTTTTCCATTTATTTCCTAGGTTTCATGGGCTAGTCTTAAGGCAGGAAATCAGAAATGCCTTTCTTGTCCCAAAGACCTGAAAGTCTCATTAAAGAATTTGGGGTTGAGAATGATTTTAACTTCATCTAGGTATAAATCTAGTCTATATCAAAGATTCATTTCAAATATTGTTCCTAATTTCTTTGATTTATTTAACAAATATTAATAAAGCCTTTACAATATGCTAGGTGCTGTTCTAGCCAACTACAAAAGAAGGTACTTGTCTTCAAGAGGCTTATATTCTAACAAGAAAATAGTTGTAATAATATTAAAGGGCATAACAAGATGAAGAATAAATGGGAAACAGTATTCAAATAGGAAGATTCTTTAAAGCAAGGAAAATTTCAATAAAATATGAGAAAAGCAATTATCTATATGCAAAGTCCTACAGTGGAGAAAGGGGTTTAATATCAGGAAGAAATCCAGCACTGATAAAGAGCAGAGGGAACAAGAGGAAGAACGGTATTTAAGTGTCAGATTCTTAAATCATGAAAACCTAAAGTACAGAGGCAAATAAAAAAACTAAGCTGGCCATCTGAATATAGTCTACAGACAGAGGTGGTGGGAGGGAAGGGAACAGTTGTTACTGGGCACAACAAAAAGAAAACAGAACAGATAACAAACTTGAAAAAGTTTTCACATGTATTTTTCAATTGACTATGGGGTGGGTATGTGCATGTAGGTGCAGGTGTGTGTGGAGAAATTGGATCTCTCTGGTGCTGGAGTTTACAGGCTGTTGTGAGCTCTCTGATGTGGGTGCTGAGAATTGAACTTGGGTCCTCTACAACAACAGTACACATTCTTAACCACTGAACCATCTCTCTCTGGCCCCACTGTTAACAAATTTAAAAAGTAACAATTATGATCATTTTGCTAAGTGCCATCATCAAAAATGGAATACAAAACATTTTTGAACTCCGGATCCCCTCCCTACCTTCTAATGCACCAAAGTATCCAACTTCTATGACATTAATTCTAAGATATACTTCTATATTTAATTTCACATTCCATCAACATTCCACATTTGTTTCAAAACCAAATAAATATGGTCTTTAAAATGACATTCCACCTCCTTCTGTCCAAGCATCGTCCCAACTTTGTGAAATATAGTACTTGTGTTCTAGGGGAGAGAATGGGCTTCTGCAAGGTAGAAAGAGCAACAGCCTTTTTTCAAGGTTATGTATTCCACCTTCTTTAATAGAAAGTTGATCTAAGCCATCCAATAGTGAACACATGGCATTTTCAAATTCCTCAAATTAGTGATGCCCAATCTAAAAAAAAAATTCTAAAAGATTTTTTCCTCCTCCTCCTCCTCCTCTTCTTCTTCCTCCTCCTNCCCGCCTTTCTTTTTCCAGTTTCTCTATGTAACCGCTGTGGCTGTCCTGGAACTTGCTCTATAGACCAGACTTGCCTTGAACTCATGTAGATCTGCCTGCCTCTGCCTCCTGGGCGCTGGGATTAAAGGCGTGTACCACCACAGCCTGGTCTAAAAAAGAATTTCTTTAAATAATCTGGCTGCTGGAATAGCATGGATATTCTAAAAACTTTCATAAAAAATCCAGTCTGCAAGAAAACAAACTGGCTCATAATAGTTATGTCAGAATAACTGCAATCATCTTTGCTAAGAACCCCAATTTAAATGTGACAAATGAGGTACAAGAAAGACTGCATCTTGTTAGTTCTACCTGAAAGTACCAATAGGTTCAGGGGAGTTAGGTTTCAAACTCAGTCTAAAAGAAAACTTGAAGCTCTGTCAGCCTATGTAAAAGCAAAATAAAGATAGGAGGGAGGTCATGACAGTCTTTGGTGGCGTGGGGGAAAGAAAAGACTGGAGACAAGCAAGAGTCAGAAGATCAAGTGGTACAAACTACCCATGGGATGTAGAATTATTAAATAGAATTATCCTGTTCTTCACAATCCCTTATTAGTCACTATTTACAGATTAAAGTACAGACTGGAACAAAGTATCCTCCGAAGCATAGCTTGTTCACTCTCCCACTGTGTCTGTCAGAGCCGGCTGTACTTGGCCCGGGTGTCATCCTCCAAGCCACAGAGAGTACACTTTCTCCCAGAATGTCTTGTTTGAATCTCATCAACTCTGGTTCAATGCATTTGTGCTGGTTGTTGGTTTTTATCAACTTGATACAAACCTAGACGTATCTGAGAAGAAAAAAATGCCTCCTGTGGGCAAATCTGCAGGGCTTTCTTTTCTTTTAGATCTCTTAATTACATTTTATTTTAATAAATTACAAAATATTTTAATATTTTTTTAATTTTCATATACTGTATTTTGATCATGTTTCCCATCCCTCAACTCCTTCCCAGACCTTCCCCACCCAGTTTTGTTATCTCAAACAACAAAAAACACTATAAAAATGAAAGCAAAACAAACAAACAAAAAACAGTGAGACAAAATATGCCAAAATGTAAAAACAAAAAACAAAGCAAAACAAAAACAAGAAAACAATGGAGTTTGCTTTGTGTTGGCCCACTATCCTTGACACAGGGCTTCCTCTGGAGTATAGTTAATATGTCCAATAATAATCCATTGACAAAAATGAGGCTCTCTTTGTTAGCTGTCTTGTTTAGGGGTGGGGCTTCACTTCCACTTCCTCCTCTCAGGGCATCCCACATCAGTCCTGCTGTGTCTTGAAGCCCCTGTTAGGAGTCACCACTACCTCTTTTGAGGGTTTCCCTGCTCGACCATGTTCTAGCTGCTGTGCTTTTCTTCCCTTCTTCATGTACTTGTTAAAAACTAATACGTTAAGAGTGGTTGCTATGCTCAAAGGACTAGAAAATTCAGAACTGAACTACCACTGAGAATCCCTTTTAGTTTCTATAACCCGGCTACTAACACATGCCTTGCGCAGGGCTTTTCTCCACCCTCCCTGTGACAGGTGACCACAACTGTCCACACCATGAACATGACCCAGTGACAGTGTGCTCACTACTCATCCTTGCTCCTTCCCTCACCGGGCTCATGTGCTAAACATTCCCCTTTCTGCATCTCACAATCCCTTGTACCTACACTGCTTTAGTGGTTTCTAGTTTCTCCCTGTTCCAAATCAAGTCTATCATCATAATTACAACTAAACGTTATTTTAAATATATTCCCTGGCTACAAAAACACAACAACCCAAAACTAATAGGCAGTAAAACAGATATATTCACAAAAAAAAATGCTCCATTTCGTGATGGGTAGAAGTTAAAAACACAAAAGCTTAATTGAAATAATAGACCTTTTGTCTATTATTCACCATGATTTAAGTATGTGATTTTGGCTAGCTGTGGTGGTACAGAGCTTTACGCTCAGCATTTGAGGCAGACCAGGCAATGTCTGTGAGAATGAGGGTAGGCTGTTCTATACAGTGAGTTTCAGGCCAGCTAGTTCTATATAGAGAGACATGGTCTCAAAAACGACCCAAATAAGTAATTCAACGGATTTTAGTACACACAACAGGTGGGTATAAGCATCACAACTGACTTCAGAATATTCTCATTACTCCTAAGAGATATTCCATATCCTATAACTATTAGTTTCCAACACTTGTCTGCCAGTTCCCAAGCAACCACTAATGTGCCTTTTCATTTCTACAGTTCTCCCTGTTCTAAAACAGAATCACAGTGTGTGGTTCTTGTGACTGATTCTTTCACTAGCACAGCATTTTCAAGAGTCATCCAGGTTGTTACAGAATATCAGTTTCATTTCTTTTATGGCTAGCGATCTGAAGTTACCTATCCATCCTGATGTCCTTTTTGCTATTACAAACTATACACATTTTCATGCAAGCATGTCTTTAATTCTCCTGGGTATCTTGGACAGTGGGAACACCTAGTTACAAGGGAGCAGTGCTGTAGCATTCGAACAGCCGTGGGCTGTTTCCTAAAGCAGCTGCTTTACATCTCTTAGTCTCAATGGAGAAGACTCTGATCTCTCCAGTTTCTCCAGTACTTGTTATTATCTGCCATTTGAGCCCTCTTACTTGAGTGTAAAGTAGTTTTTTACTGTGGTTTTTGGTGCTCAGGTTTAAAGCCTGGGCCTCACGCATGTAAGCACACGCTTGGCCACTAAACCATAACCTACCCGACTCTGACTTCTCATGTATTTTGTCTATCCTAACAAAACAGTGTCTACTTAGACTCTTGGTAGTGATGCATGCCTTTAACCCCAGCACCCAGGAGGCAGAGCCAGGCAGGTCTGTGAGTTTGAGGTCAGCCTGGGCTGCAGAGTTAGGGCTGCACAGAGAAACCCCAGTCTCGAAAAACAAAAACAAACAAAAGGTCTATTATGTTTATATCTTTGAGCTATCTTAATTTTTATATGTAGTATGAGGAAAGAGTTCAACTTTATTCTTTTACACGTAGATATCATTTGTTGGGGAAAAATATTCTGCTGAATAGTCTTGGTACCCTTATCAAGATTCAACTGACCACAAATGTAGGCAAAACACTCATACATATAAAAATAAACAAATCTGGGGCTAGAAAGGCAGCCCAGGGGCTAAGAGTGCTTGCTCCTCTTCAAGAGCACCACACCGCCCTTTACAAATTCTTTCCTAGAAATTCTTAGCATCAGCCTACCCATCAACAGCCCTAAGACTTCATACTTCAAACATTAGGTAATGAATTGTTCCCGGGCGCTCACATAGCAATCTCATGCTTTCCACAAAGTATCTAATAAATGGACTCACAAACTCTTCAAGATTCTTAACAAATAAAAAATAAACAGTAAAACTATCCTTACTAAGCATCTCATGCTGGAATAGCTCAAAAACCCTCAACCAGCCCTTCCAGGAAGAAAATTCAGATACCTTAAAGTGTACAGAATCACGAACTCTAAGAGCATGCAATCTAACGTACATTAGGTCACAAAGCCACACCATGATGACCTGCAGACACCTCTAGAGAGCTTGGCATGGCGAGCACACCTGCAATCCAGGACTCAGAAGGCTGAGGCAGGAGGACCCCAAGTTTCATGAAGGCCCGGGATGCATACTGAGACCTTGCCTCAAGCAAACAAACAAGACAAACAAGACAAACCATTACCACCAATGAAAACTAAGAAAGCCTGAACCTGAAGCTTCAGATTAAACATCTGAATTTAAGGTCTTTCAGAATTTATTCAAGTTCGCACCACAGCCACACTGAGCTATCAGTTTACTAAACACTTTTCAAACTGAATTTTAGTAAAGAGTCTATAGGATGGCAGACATCAAGAAACATTCAATGAAGCTTGTGTCAAAAATCACATAGTTTATAGTGTTTTGTGAAGTCTTTGAAACAGAACAAAGATGTAAGAGATTTGGTACCTGTAAATAGTTCTGAAACTCAAGCCTGATGGCACTTACCTGTTGCGCCACACCTGGCGGCTGAGACAAGGCCAACCTGAGCTACTCAGTGAGAGATCCTGCCTATAAACACACAAGTGTGTGTACATGCACAGCCCCAAACTGTCCTATCGTTCAATGTCTCTCGCAGCTGCCACTTATCCCAGGTCCTCTTGCCCACAGGTCCGTGTACCTGAGTAGCTCAGAGCCTGATCCACTCAGCCTATCTTGCCTAACCCCCAGGAAGCACAGACAGCAGTGATCTCACACACAGCTGGCAGCTAACAAAGCCCTACTTACCGGCAAGTCCACACTAACATCTGTACCATCCAGAAGGGACACCCTGCACGTGATGATGGACTTGGCATCTCCAGCTGCAGGAATGTGCGTGGCAGCACGCTGTGCCTCTCGGAGTCGCTCCCTCTCAGCATGTTTACGCATAGACCGGCGGCCAAGCGTTCTTCTCAGGAAGCTCAGCATTTCTGCCACTACAAAACCAGCAGCGAAACTGATAGTGAGGGAGACTTGTAGTCAACTAATGGTGGTACTTAGAAAAAGCCCTCTGGATGTTAATCTGAAAAAGTTAAAACATGTCACCTTCTAATACATAGTTCAAAGTGTGTTGCATATAATACATTCAATTTTCATGTCAAAATAATTTTTAAAGCTAGACTTTAAAATACAGTGAGTTCGAAGCCAGCCTGGTCTATAAGAGCTAGTTCCAGAACAGGAACCAAAAAAGCTACGGAGAAACCCTGTCTCAAAAAAATCAAAAAAAAAAAAAAAAAAATTAAGATAGAGCAATGCTTGCAACTTTTGAAACTTTCTGTCTAGTTTTTATAAGGAGCTGATCTAGCAGAAGAAAGCAATCATTCGTGACGTTCAACAAATGTTTTGGGCCAGTAAGTGGTACCTAAGGTAGATAATAGCCCCACAGACATTATACAGCAGTGCCAGACACTGCTGAGGCAGACTCTTGGTGGCTGTTTTTAACTGTACATTCAAAACACAAGTAATTATCTATTTCAGCAAAGTACAAATAAAGTTAAACTCCTGTTTTGTCAAATATTATGCTTAATGTTCTACTAAGAACATTAAACAAATAGTTAAACTAGCTACTAGATATTTAAAAGATTGCACATTATAACTGAAAACATTAAATACACATATGGAAATACATACAATGCAAACCCCATAAGTTACTCTGTAAACCTAGTATCTTTAGTTTACATCTAAGAGACTCTGAAAAAGTAAAGGTTAACTATGTACAATTACTAATTCCAGTAAAAAATTATAGGAGAAAAAGAGCCTCAGCATACACAGGGATCCATAGCAAACAGCACCATGTTGTGGGACACTCATTCTACCATAACTCACAGTAACTACCACCAGAGGAGGAGCTGCCAGAGGAGAGGGTGAGTATGGAGAGAGCTGTTCTCAGCTCACCTAACAGCTCAGAGAGGGGAGAGGAGGCGCAGAATTCCAGACAGAGCTACTTTTTTTTCAAAGCCTTAAAGCCTCCAAATGAATAGATGTGGCTACTGATCTGGTTTTTAAAAGGGTAACTTTAAAACCATACTACTACATTCAAATTTAAATACCCACAAACTAAAGATTACCAAAATATATTTTATGATAACGTTTTACATGTATTTTAGATTTTAACCCAAGGAGAGAACTAAAATTTGGGAGAGCTGACCAGCTCTATCCACCCACTCTGTGGTCTCTCCAAGTGGTTTTTAACAGGTCCCCAGCCTCCTTTCCCTGTGGGCCTTAGACTTCTAAAGCTCTGTTTAATGAACCCTTACTCCTTCCTTTAACCCAGCTCCTTTATACCCACAGAAAAACACCCTGATAGTTATGTTAGTTATTATAATCACACTTCTCCTGAACCTTTTATTATAATCAGATAACTATTCTTTTAGTCTTTATTGCAAAAAACTTGAGCATAATCATTATTTTTCTTTTGATATTTATATACCTATTTTTTTTATCATAGAAGACTTTTAAAAGAAAAAGATTCCAAATGCATTATAAATGCATCTCCTAAGAAACTATAAACTGATTTTCTAATGCTCACCTTCTTTCTGGCACTGACAAACAACCACTCCTGCAGTCTATCGAGTTAAAGAAAAACACCTTTCTTTTCGATTGCTGTTTCATTCAACAATAAACCCAATACTGTGAAGAATAGCAAGTTCCTTTCATAGAAGTGTGACAGCGTAAAATAACATACGTTTCAAGCAAAAAATGAGAAAGTTCTAGGAAGAAATAGAATAATAAAGGACTTTTAAACAATTTCTGAAAAAAGGTATCTTGAAGGATTACTGTATAGTTTATCCCTTATTACAAATCATCCCTATAGAGATACAGCTTGGTGATCAGGTGCTTACCTTTCATATACGAGGCCCTAGGTTAGAAGTCCAGAGAGCAAAAACAAACAAATTAACTAGATAAACAACCCAATAGAAGAAAATGGGTAACATAAAAAGGACATCTCAAATGAGGATAATAAGAAAGCCTCAAATAATTCTAGCACTTGGAAGGCTAAAACAGGAGCGTTCTGAGTTCTAGGCTAACATGGCTACATGCCAATTCCAGGCTAGCTTGAGCTACATATGGAAGTAGAAAAAGATAAGATCTCCTGAGTAAATTAGGAGCATGGGGATCATGGGAGAGGGTTGAAGGGGAGGGGAGAGGAAGAGAGGGGAGTGGAGAAAAATACATAGATCAACAAAAACAATTTAAAAAAAAGTACACTCAGAAGGCAGAGGCAGGCGGATCTCTGTGAGTTCGAGGCCAGCCTGGTCTACAAAGGGAGTTCCAGGACAGGCTCCAAAGCCACAGAGAAACCCTGTCTCGAAAAAACAAAAAATAAATAAATAAATAAATAAAAAAGTAGAGTGGGTTGCCCGACATGTCCAGCACTGCACAAGCAAAGTCCAGAAAAAGCCGTCTGTCCCTGTACACCTAGTACAGAATGGTGGAAGAGTTCCTACGGCTTGTCTCTGACACGCTCACACGGATGGACTAACACACATCAGTGGAGGCGAGGTCCCTGGTGGGATGTCCATGCAGCAGGGAAGAGGAGGCAGAATGCTTCTGTACATCTTCACACACTATCCTATTTGAACAAGTTTTTAAATTGCATAGGCTATATGCAGCAATTCTATTTCTAAGTCACAGGAACAAAATTACTCTTAGCCTAACTGACTTAAGAAATTCATACATTTATCATAATGCAAAGAGTTCAGTGAGTGATGGTATAAACTGTTCTACATAGACTTCCAGGCCAGTCAAGGTGACATAGTGATACATTCTCTTAAACAAACCAAACCTGTCTTTGCTGTGGGACAATGGTCTTGTACTGTTTTCATAAAACGCTGATTGGCCAGCAGCCAGGCAGGAAGTATAGCCAGGGTGACCAGGTAGGAAGTAGAGGTGGGAAGACAAGAACAGGAGAATTCTGGGAAGAGGAAAGACTCAGTCTGCAGTTGACACTCAGACACAGAGGAATCAACTGCCTCACTGATAAAAGCTACCAAACCACGTGGCTGACCGACAAGAATTATGGATTAATGTAGGATGTAAGAGTTAATAAGAAGTCTGAGCTAATAGGCCAACATATTTATGATTAATGTAGACCTCTGTGTGTTTCTTTGGGACTGAATGGCTGTGGGACAGGGAAGGACAGAAACCTCTGTCAACATGTCTTAGACTAAATTTATAAGTGAAGAATCAAATTAAGTGCAAACTGAAAAGGATATTATAATACTTTGAGATATAATCCACATACATCCTCAGACACATACATAGAAACTACAAAATGCAGGTGATTTAAGGAAGGTGTTCTCTGTAGAGTTAATCCAGACGTCATAAGAATGTATGGGATGTGTGACTAAGTTTCTAAATCTTAAAAAAAAAAAAATTGAGAGTTAAGAAAAAAAAGTACCCCCCCCCATTTCTGTTCCCTCATCCCACCTGCCCTCCCCAGGTCTTCAGTGCTCCAGCTGGTGGATGGGTGGATTATCAACCACCACAAATCGGATTCCCTTTGAAATCTTTGACAGCTCTGGCTCCTCCTTCTGGACCTAGGTGCCCTTCTAGCTATTTGCTGTAGTGCTCTAGTGCATATTTCTAATTCCAGAACTTTCTTCATTAGCGGCTTCATCTTTCTGGGATAATCTCTGTCCACTCATCTCCCATTCTTTCCCCTCTTTAGATAATTAACTCTGTATTTACACCCAGAAAAGCACCCTCTGATCCCGAGGCTGGAATCGATGGCCCTGTTAGTACACGGGCTTTTCTAAAAAACATGGAAAGAAACTGTAATTAAATATTTAATTGACTTTTGTTACTGGCTAGTCTCCCTCCCTGCACAAGGGCAGGGAGGGACCTCGGCTGACTTGTGTATTGTAAGGGATGAGCAAACTGTTTGCCAGGATATACATGTTAGACAATCAATAAAAAAAAAAAAGTTATATAGGGTAAAAATACATTAGAACATGGTACTATTTGAAGAAGCAAATCCTAAAAGAGGATAATAAAAGTGACTAACAAAATAATCCCAGTCCGCGGAAGGCAGAAGCAGAATTCTAGGTTTCAAGCCAACCTGGGCTGTACATATAGCAAATTCCAAGTGAGTCTGGGCTGCATAGAGAGACACTGTCTCTAAAAAACAACAAACTGAAAATCTGGGGCCAGGAGTTACATAGTTTCTAGTAAATAAATTTCCTTTTCAATCACAGAAACGAAAACTGAAACAATCAATTTCCTACCTAACCAAGCACTACATTACCCACCCTCCACCTCAAGTTTGTGATGTCTGCGTACACCATACAGCATTGAAGGCCAACTGCACCTCCGCCCCCTTTGGTTCTTCTTTTTGCAGTGCTAGGGATCGAACTCTGGGTATCCAACACGACATTCCTGAGTGGTAAAGCACATGTATCTTGGGGCGAGCCACTGATTTTTTTTTTCCCACAGTAATATTGCCAATATACAGAAAATGTCCTAAAGTCACCAGTATCTTTCATCCCAGTTATCTCCCGCAATAGAAAACGTAACTGAGAAACTAACTAAACGCAGGAAACTTCCGCACTTCGATTTTCCCAAACAAGTTAAAGTCCCAAAACAAAAAACATGTTTAAGGATTTAGGTCAGCCTAGTGAGCTCCAAAATGCGAATTAGGTTCCCAGTATCAAAAGAAAAATAAAGAACAGGCAGCGGCGGGGGGAGGGGGGGTGTTAAAAAGATCCTGAAGCGTCCAGGGAGACACATACAAGTAACCCACTGCAGTAAGTGAGGCTCAGCCTCAGTTTATGCTGCAAATGGGGTTGGCGTAGCTGTGAGTTACGTTAAGGATTTATTGGTGGGCTAATCTCTAACTCTTAGGAAGAAGAAGAAAACACTACTAGTAATTTTAAACTATTGCCAAACAACTTCGGAGACGGGTCTTCTCGCTGTTAAAGCAGAACCCGGGAGACTGCAGTAACCACACAGAGACAGACACAATTATCTGCCACCCACCCGAGGACCCATCATTACCCGACGCGCGCTACGCGTGGGGGCGGGAAGCGCCTTCGGCCTTGGCGGTTCCCGGGAACGCACCTGCCTCACACGATTCCCGAGTTTCAGTCGGTCGCGAGTAAGCTGGCACGTCCCGTCCCCTCGGGTGTGCGTCTACCCACGATCCTGACGAGCTGACACCCGAGGAGACCTTCCCCTAACCGCACGGCTACACGGAGGTCAGGGGGGCGCAGAGTTCCTCTCGCGACGCCCAAGACCCCAGCTACGCGCCGGGCTCCCGGCGGCCGCCGCTCGGTATCGCCCGAAACTCAGCTCCCAGCCCCATTGGCTGCCGCCGCCACTCCCCTCCCAGCCCGCGGCGTCGCCCGGGGAGCCGGGCCGCATACCCGGCGCGGCCCAGGCTACGCTCCGTGAGCGGAGCGAACTGGACACCGGGGCCACACTTACCTTTCCTGGGGGGTGAAGACCGTGTAGCGACCGAGACCACGACGACAGGCGAGCGCGACCCTTGGGGACAGACTCCCAGCCAGCCCGACGGGAGGACGGGTCTCCGAAAACGTAGAGAAATGGCGGCGCGAGGGGCGAGCCCACCCTGCGCTAATCCCCCGAGGACCCCGGCCGCCCGCGGGCACGCCCCTTAAAGCCCTACCCAAGCCCCGCCCCGAAGGACAGGGTGCTTGGCTCTTAAAGGGGCGATGGCGCCGCCCCGGAAATCAGCCTCCTGAGAAGTAATTTAAGCAGGCGACGCCAGGTGGAGCCAAGAGGAATAGGAAACTACAGTTTAGGAGTCACCTGTTGCACTTGCACACAAAATTTAGGCTTATTCAGAGGGCCCTATTTGGTGTTTGGAAACCTGGCTGCTACACTGGTTCACTAATCGAAAAAATAAACAAAACAACAAAGAGGGGAAAATACCTGGCATATTGATGCACACCTTTAATTCCAGAATTTGGGAGGCAGAGGCAGGAGAATCTTTGGTGAGGTCAAGGGCAGCCTGGTGAGTTCTAAGAGTCAGGACTACATAGTAAAACCTTGTCTTAAATTACATTGTCTATGTGTGTATATATATGTGTGCAGTGAGTAAGGAAGGGTGTATGTATGCCACAGTTCAAGTGCGGGGAGGTCTGAGGATAAAAAGTTCTTTCCTATCACTTGAGTACTGGGAATGAACTCAAGCTGACCCATTTGGGTGTAAGCACTTTTACCCACTGAGCTTCTTGATAGCCCCTGGTTTTATGTTTCGAATTCCCATATTCTCTCTCTCTCTCTCTCTCTCTCTCTCTCTCTCTCTCTCTCTCTCTCTCTCTCTCCCCCCCCCCCAACTCGTATTCTGTTTTTGTTTTTTGTCTCATCCCCGCACCCTCAGAGCCATCCTGGAAGTCACTCTGTAGACCGGGCTGACCTCCAACTCAGCAATCCAATTGCCCCTCCCTCCTGAATGCTGGGTTTAAAGGTGGGTGTCACCACCACCCAGCAAATTTTCACTTCCTTGATTATGTAATTTAAAATCAAATGTTGAGTTTGGGGTACAGTTCCGTGGTAGTATGTTAGACTAGTACAAAATCCTGGATCCAATCCCTAGCACAGCAAAAATAAATAAGATGTTTCTATTTTTAATGTAGTCTGGTATATATTTTTCTCTCTTATCCAGTTGTTCATCGATTTGTAAATACTTATTTAAATGTTTTCTTGCTTCCCTACCCCCAATTCCTAGGGATTAAAGTGGATTTAAGCCTCTACTGCTAAAGCAACTTTCAGTCTATAATGGAGAAAGAGAGTAAATAAATGTGTCAAGTGGCGATAAGTGTCCTGGAGAAAAACAAAGCTAGGAAAGAGAAATAACAGGCTGAAGATTAAGGTACCTTGTTCAGGGAGGTCCTGAGTGGAAAGGCAACATTCCATTCCTTCATTCTTCAGATAATCAAAAGGCCTGCTGTGCTGTAGGCCCTGGAGATAGGACAGATAAAGAAGAAAGACAAAAGTCCCTCAAGGCAACCAAAGATGACAAAAACCTCTAGTCCTGTGGGAGGCACAATAGTGAGATCAAGAGCACTTTAGATTACATTTTGAGGATCTGTCATAATTAAATAAGTTTATTTTATGGTCAAGCCTGTGTGGTAGCACAGTGTACCTGTAGTCCTTGGTACTCTTAAGGTTGAGGCAGGAGGATCACTTGAGCCCAGAAATTTGAGGTCAATATACCTAACACCATCTGATGAAGGAGAAGGAAGGAGGAGGAGAAGAAAGAGGAGGAGAAAGAGTAGGAGGAAGAAGAAAGAAGAAGAGAAGAAGAAGGAGGAGGAGGAGGAGGAGGAGGAGCTGCATATAGCTCCATTAGTAGAGTACATGAAGTGTTCTGGGACACATGGTTCGTTAGCTGTTAGTAAACACTAAAGAGAAAATTAATAGCAGGGAGTAGGGACAGGAAATAAAGAGCTGCAAATTCAGCAAGGAGGCAGGCCTCTTAAAGACAGTGACATTGAGTTCAGACCTAAAGTAGGTGAGGAGATAGCCAGTAGACCTCCTGGACGAGCCAAAAAAACAGCAAGAGCAAAAGGCCTGTGGGGATGTGCTCAAGGGCTGAACTGAAAGGAAAGGAACAAGAGCAGAAGGGAGATGTGTGAAGGGAAAGGGTGTGGAATGAGGGTCTCATGGGATCTTGCCAGAAAATTAGTGTGTGTAGAGGGAGGACCCAGAAGACACCATTTACAGGGATTTGGCACTGACCACACCTGCACCAGGTTAAGCCTAGCAGAACAGCTCTCTCTGCACCAGAGGTGTTGCCAGAATATTGCCTGTACCTGTGAGGCACCTTAGCTGGGGCCAATGGAACAATAGCTGGTTACTACACATAGCTCTACCCACAGCAAGGAGGGATAGGGTCTTTGAGGTGGAAAGAGTGAAAGCTGAAGTTCCCCGACTGATTAGGGACAATACCAAGAAATCAGTGTCATTTCTGCTACCTGGTATAAGTTTTTGAAAACTAGTCTCAAAATGGGGGAGCAGGTCAGGGATCTAGCTTACCTAGTAGATACACACAGAAATATAATAATTGCAAAATATAATTATGCAACATCCACATGACAACAGAATAAAATGAATGAGATGGGGCTGGTGAGATGGCTCTGCAAGAAAAGACACCACCAAACATGAGCCTCAGGACTCACATGGTGGAGAGAACTGACTCCTGCAAGTTTTCTTCTGACCACTATATGATTGCTGTACAAGTACATACATGGTCACTCATGACCCTCACCCCCAAAATAAATAATGTTTTAAAGAATGAGATAGATGTGAATATGCTAACATGGAAATACTCCACAATGAAAAATGAAAAGTTGCAAGCTATATCATATAATACTGCAAGCATAAATATTTATGTATAAACAAATACATGTTTTCCCCAGAAGAAAATATAATTGAACAGAGGCCATCATTGGTATGATGGGGCTTCCACTGCCATAAGGCTTCATATAGCTCAGAGTTGCTGGTAATCCTGAAACTTGTGAGAGTAAAACCAGTTACACAATTTTGAACCAAATTTGAAGCCAGCTTTATGTATTGACCAGATGGTGTAGGAGGGTCTTCTTTCTATGTGCTGCTTTCATTGGTTGAATAAAGAAAACTCCCTTGGCCTTTTGATAGGGCAGCCCTTAGGTGGGTGGAGTAGACAGAACAGAATGCTGGGAAGAATGGAAGTGTGGCAAATGCCATGCTTCTCCTGCCCTAGACAGACACTGGTTAGACTCATCCCGGTAAGCCACAGTCAAGTGGCCAACAGATTATTAGAAATGGGTTGAATCATGAGAGTTAGCCAATAAGAGGCTAGAACTAATGGGCCAGGCAGTGTTTAAATGAATACAATTTGTGTGTTGTTATTTTGGAGTATAAGCTAGCCCACTGTGCCCCTTACTACAACCAGAAAGATGGGACTCTGGTCAGATCCACATCTGGTTCCTGGTTGAGTGGCTATGAGACAAATGTTGTAGGGGTGTTTTAAAGACTAAACCATAAGGCCACTGTATTTCCCATTTTATTTCTCCAAGAACTATAACTCCCAATATTCCAGAAATTACCTGGACCTTGTTGACTTTGACTCTTAGAGAGCACACAATTTGAATCTACCTGCCTCGATTTCTGAGTACTAGAATTACATGCCTGCACTTTTCACCAGATTTGAGGGGGCTTTTGTCAGAGATGGGGAGTTGGTATGAGATTGCCACAAATTATCTTCAGTCTTCCTCAAAATGTATCTCGTAATTTTTTTTTCTCTTATTTGAGACACAGGGTCTCTATAGCTCAGGCTAGCCCTGAATTGCTGTCCTAAAGTGATCCTCTACTTCAGCCGTAAAAGTAGCTGGGACTACAGGCACAATTCACTATGCCATTGTACCTGCTTTTGCCATAATGAGTCCTTTATCACACACATAGGTACCTGAAACAGTTATTGGTTGTAGAGTGTGGTGGTACAACACTTTGATACCAGCACTTTAAGGGCAGATGCAAGCAGTTGATCGAGTTCAAGGCAAGCCAAGGCTACCTATAAAAACAAAACACTCAAACAACCCTCCCAATCAAAACCAAACCGAAACTGAAGCTTTACTCCTAACCTTCCTCTAATATGCAAAATGGCACACCAGACTGCACCTGGGAAGATGATAATTCAGGTTGATTTCAAGACAATTCTTTTGAGTGGCAAGGTCCTGCCTTGGGGTTAGTGAAGGAGGTGTGGCCCCAATGAAGGAGACTGCAGATACTTTTATTCTTTGGGCAGGTAGGGAGATGGCTCAATGGGTAAGAATGTTGACTGCTCAGCTGGGCAGTAGTGGCTCATCCCTTTAATCCCAGTGCTCAGGAGGCAAATCTCTGTGAGTTCAAGGCCAGCCGGGTCTACAAAAGTGAGTTCCAGGACTGTCACACAGAGAAACTTTGTCTGAAAAACAAAACAAAACAAAAACCAAACCAAAACAAAACAAAAAAAGAATGCTTACTGCTCCGGTTTGAGGACCTGAGCTAGGATTCCCAGAACCCATGTAAAAAACTGAGCACAGGTATGTATGCCTGCAACCCCATGCTGTGGTTGCTAGAGACAGGAAGTACAGCTTGCTGGCCAGCCAGTCTAGCTGACATTAAGTTCTAGGTTCCGTGAGAGAATAAGGTAAAGACTGATAGAGGACACCACCAGATGCCCTCCCCTGGCTTCTGAAAGTCTGAGCATAGGTGGCTGTTTCAGCATATGTACATGCCCACATACCACACATATATACCATTCCCCATTCCCTTAAGAAGAGCCACTATGTGTGTTACTAATTCTGGAAAC